GGAAGTGACAGAGATAAAAAAAAAAAAAAAAGAAAGAAAGAAAGAAGTGCGTCTCGGAAGCAGTTTCGAATACCTCCAAACGAACTCGGAAAAGAAACGAAAAATGTTGGTTTCAATTATCGTTTTCAGCCGCACAAAGCCATTTACGAAAGGATGCAGAATCACTACGGTAGCTCTCTTTGCACCGTAAATTCTATTCCTACGATTCTTAAAAGCAGATATGAACAGATCTACATCGTGGAGAAAAAAAAAACAGACACGTTACAGGAGAGTCCAAGTCACGTCCATGGTCTTCAGAGACAATAACAACTACAAACCAGCGAACTATTACTATCCAACAACCCAGTTACTACTCACGCCCGTGATGATCGCAGATATGTAGGTGAGCTTATGGGGGTCGCAGCAGCACTTGCAGCAGCAGCAGCAAGGAAAGCAGCACATGATTGCAGTTCTTCGTGGTTCCTCTCACAGTATATGACCATCTGCCGAAGAGGTGGTCGTGCCAGTGCCATATGGGTCAGTGTACAACAGCAAGCGAGAGGGTTTATCAGCTTATCAGAAGAAAAGACTGGCGGACCCTCAAGTTTGTCATGACTGATAAGAAACACTCAAGAGGACCTCTTGCACACCAACGTATGTGCCAAATCTTAAAATACACGTACAGAATGTAAAGATGTACATTTGCCTTAATTCCTGGGGGGGGGGGGTAAATTATGCATGTTGTCTCTCGAATGTGTTATGAGGAGTTATGTTTCCAATAGGATATGTGATTTCTCATATTTTACGCACATGACGAGAGTAAATTATGATGCTATGGATGTATCACTAAAACACGGTGAAATACAGCCTATGCTCCGATCATAAGCTTTCTTTCCAACTAATGCTAACTCTGGTTACATGAAAATATTCTGCCTGTTATAAATAAGGCTTCATTACACATATGCTTTTATGTTAGTGTAAGCTCTCCATCTATCTCTCCATCTCATTCACTCATTCATTCATTCACTATCTCTCTAAGGATGATAATGATAATAAACAATAATAATGGAAATGGTAATGATCATGATAATAAGATAAATGATAAGGATGATAATATGGATAATAGTAATAATGATGATAATGATAATCACAACAATAATAATGATAATGATGATAATGCTAGTATAATAATAAAATGATAACGTAATGGCAATAGTAATAATAATAATAATAATAGTAATGATGTTAATGATAAAAATAGAGATAATTACAATGATCATGATGATGATGGTGACGGTGGTGGTGATGATGATGATAATGATGATAATAATGATATCAAAAATAACAATAATGATAATGATAATAACAATGGTGAGGATGACAATAACAAAAATAATAACAATGATAATGATGATTGTAACAGCTTTAAAAATTATAATAGTAATAGTAATAATAATGATAACACTAAGGCTAATGATGGCCATAGTAATAGTAGTAAAACAATGATAGCAATAAGACAGCATGCAATATAACAAGAGTAAGGGACAGAGAAAGAGAGAGAGAGGGAAGGAAATAAATAAAAAAGGAGAGAGAGGGTTACAAAACAACACCAGAAGGTATAGTACACATTCATAATTCATGTATTAATGATCTCCAATAGAATTAAGACAGCAATAACAAGAAATAAGGGCCTGGAAAAGTCTATAGTTACTGGTATGTGATCACAAACAGTGTTGGTATTAATCATGCATATCAAACATGCAGATCTGAGGGCAGATTTCAAGTACTCGGGAAAGGGGCTTAGAGAAAAGGGGGGGGGGGAATGGAGAGAGGGGGATAAGGGAGCGAAGGGGGTAGGGAGTTTCGGGAAAATGAGGAGGGAGGGGGGATAAGGGAGGTGGGGGAATTTACGAAGGAAGAAGGAAGGGAATAAGAGAGGTGGGGAGTTTATGAAAGGAGAGGGAAGTGAGGGAGTTTACGAAGGTTTAGGAAAAGGGATAAGGGAGGTGGGGGCGTTTATGAAGGAAGAGAGAGGCAAATGTAGGGTTTAAAAGGGAAGAAGTGAATTTAAGGAAGATTAGGTACCCACGGCAGGGTGGAGCGTCCGACCGGCATACAGGAGCGCCCGATACTGAGTCTGCCCGACGCTCTATCCATAAAAATAAAAGTAATAATAACAATATAAAACTAATAAAAAGCAAAACAAAAACAAAATCAAACAAAATAGAGGTATTTACTTTTATTTGCTTTAATTTCTTTAATTTTTACCTTAATTATTAACCGCCAGCACTGAAGAAGTGTCACTAGTAACGCAACGTAACTTACCCCCCCCCCCACTAACTCTAGATATGAACGAGGCATATAATTCTATGTTAACTATGCAAGGGGTTTCGCCTCCCTTCTTTTAACCCCCCACTTTCTTTCCATTTCTCTCTTTACGGCCTCTTCTCTCTCTCTCTCTCCCATCTCTCCCTTTACTTCGTATCGGTTTCGGTTGTCTCCCATTTTGGGGTTTGGGGCAGGGATCACAGCACCCGCATTAGACACTATAGTAACTGATTCTGTGTATATTATTAATATTTAACCCCATCTCCCAGGTACCTTCCATGCCCTCCACTGCTATCGGGGCCAAGAAAACGCGTAAATTAGTCTAAAACAAACTCGACAAGTCATCAGTCAACAAATACCACTACGAGAACAGTTAATACAGAAATTAATATAAACGTTTTCCGCACCCGATCCAACACCGCTTTTCATACCCCTCACTTTAACCACAGGAATCGAAGTCAATTGGCGTCTGCTATTTCGGGCAATGAAAGGCAAGGATAACGGTTGTTCCGCTAAACAAGGGTAGGAAAAAAAATACCACAGCATATCGTTCTTTTGCATTCTTATTGTTGTTTAGTTTGGTTAACTGAGAGAAGGTTGTTGGTTCAGTGACTTTGCGTTTGTTTGTGAAGGGCACCGCACGGTAGAAAATAGAAAACGGTTTAAATGTTTACTTGTGTATTTACTTATTCAATTAAGTGAGTTATTTATCTAATGTAGTTATAGTGTTGGATAATAGTATTATGTTATTGTAGCAAAATGATCATTATTTCAACCGAGTGAATTAAAAATTACTAATACTTATGACTTAGATGACGTTATTTAACTCACTTTTACATGTAGCAAAAAAATCTTGATTGTATGGGTGTTTTACCAGACTTTTGAAGTTGACGAAAATAGAGAAAGAAAGAATGAATAGAAGTAAACATTAAGCGAAAAAATGAGATGATGTACTTATAATATTGGACTAATAGTATTATGTTATTACAGCAATATGGTATGATCATATTTCAACCAAGTGAATTAAAGAGAATACTAATAACACATAACGTAATAAAAATGCCAAAAATGATGGCATAGGTGGTTTTACCAGACTTTTAAAGTCGACGACAATAGAGAGAGGAAGAAAAAAAAAGATAAAAAGAAGAGAGAGAGGAAGAAAAAAAGGATAAAAAGAAGAGAGAGAGGAAGAAAAAGGATAAAAAGAAGAGAGAGAGAGGAAGAAAAAAAGCATAAAAAGAAGAGAGAGAGGAAGAAAAAAAGGATAAAAAGAAGAGAGAGAGAGGAAGAAAAAAAAAGGACCAGAAGAAGAGAGGAAGAAAAAGAGGATCAGAAGAAGGAGACATCAAGAGAAAAATGAAAGGAGTTCAGTGACACCCCGTCCAAATAGGAAGTTATTTATGCAGCTCTGAATTTTAAGCTTCTTTTCAACAAACACAAGTTCTGCAGCGCGGTCAAAGAACTGTAGCGGTCAAGAATAAGTTCAAGAGGAACACTAAAGTTATCTTTAGTTTTCAAAGGGTTATTTTTTTTTCTTTTTAATTCTTTACTGTTTAGAATATTCGTTTTCTTATTCGTGTCTCTTCCAGGTCAACAACGAGGTGAATTTAAGTCAAATTGTTAATGGAGTTATATATATATAATATATATATATATATATATATTATATTTATACATATATATACATATATATTATATATATACTATTATACATATATATATATATATATACAAATATATATGTATATATATACATATATATGTATATTCATATATATATATACATATATAAATATATATATATATATATATAATATATATATATATATATATTTACAGTATGATAAATATATGTTTATGTGTATATATACGTATATATATGTATATGTATGTATACATATACATATTATATATATATATTATATATATATATATATACATACATATATATGTATATATATATATATACATATATATATACACACATATATATACATATATATTATATATATATATATATTATATATATATATATATATATATATACATATATGTATTATATATATTATATATTTATATATATTATAAATATATATTATGTATATGTATGTATGCATGTATGTGTGTGTGAATTTATATGTATATGGAGGGGGACACTAACAACTCTTAACGCTGAAAACTGCCAAAAAGGTCACAAACAAGCCAGTTCCTCCACCACCATGACCAGCGGAAAGGAATATCCCAAGACCTTCTCTCGTTTCATTGTTTGCTTCGTCGCTGTGACCTTGATTCGAGTTGTTTGTCGGGTCAAAGAGAAGGTGGATTGGTGAATGGAGAACGCGAGGAGAGGATGCGGGCGTGAGGAAGGTAGGGGTGAGAAGATGGGTTGATGAGAGGGTGAGGGAGGGAGGGAGAAGGGGAGGAATTCGCTTGTGTTGGGAAGAGAGAGAGGGGGGGGAGTGAGAGAGGAGAAAGAGGAAAAGAGAAAGAGAGAAGAGAAAGAAGAAGAAAAGAGAAAGAGGGGGGAGAAGAGGAAGAGGAGAGAGAGAGAGGAGAAAGAGAGGAAGAGAGAGAGAGAGAGTGTGTGAGAAGAGAAAGAGAGAAGAGAGAGAGAGAGGGAGAAGAGGTGAATTTGGTTTGAGGGAGGAAGAGAGGGAGAAGGAATGAGATTCGCCTGTGTTGGGAAGAGAGAGAGAGAGAGAGAACAGAAAAAAATGGCGAAGGAAGGGAGAGAGAGAAAATAAGGAATTAACTTGAGTAATGATAAAAAAAAATGAAATTAGCTTGTGTTGGGAAGAGAAAGACAAAAAAAAAGGATGAATTTGGCTTGAGTAACGAAGAGAGAGAGAGAGAAAGACAAAAAACGTGAATTTGGCTTGAGTAACGAAAAGAGAGAGAGAGAGAAACAATGACAAAAAATAACGTGTACTTGGCTTGAGAAAGGAAGAGAAAGAGAAAGTAAGGAATTCGAGTAGGGAAGAGAGTAAGGATAAAAATCGCTTGTTTTGGTAAAAAGAAAAAAAAAAGTGAATTTGGCTTGAGTAAGGAAGAGAGAGAGAGAAAGTAAGGAAGAAGGTAAGGATGAAATTCGCTTGTGTTAGGAAGAGAGAGAAAGAAAAAAAAAGATGAATTTGACTTGAGAAATGAAGAAATTCGCTAAAGAAGGAAAGGAGGAAGTATTGACTTTATCTGAGGAAGGAACAGAGAGAGAGAGAG